CCTCCCCCTCTCTCTTAAAAAATACAAAACAAAACAAAGCAACTGTTGAATCATACAGAAAGGACATTAAAGAATTTTGCATTTTAATGGATCGTAAGTATATGATGATGAAGCTTCTATCGACCTAACTTTCGTCATCGATTCTATTTATCAGACCGAACTCTTTAACTCTGTGTGGGATACACCCCAGCAAAAGGACAGACACTGGACACCGTTTCTCTGTGGGAATCGAACTCACGTCTTTTGAATGCACAGAGAAGAGCCTAAAAGTACTAAAACATTACACGACAAACGCAAGTATCCTTTCTCGCTTTGTCAAGCTTCCGCCACGGCGCAGAGAGGTAGCCAACAACAACAAAAAAAACCCCCAAAAAACCCCGTGCAATCCCCACTTATGCCAGATAATCCAAACACAGGCATGAGCCGACCAGTGAATTAAGTAGATCTAAATACTTTCACACTGCACATAGTCAAGTGAAGTTGGAGAAGGACTGGACTGTTCAGACACTTCATGTTACAACAATGGGCTAGGCTGTCCTTGAAGAGGTCAGGTCACTGACGCAGAACTGTCTTATGAAGGCGTAAACACGAATTCAAAACACACTCTCGGTATAGGTATTAACCCGTCGCTAGAATGTTCTTTCATTCCACTACCAGTATCGAGCACAACACAAAACATTACCAAAACGAGAAATATAGAATAAAGAAGTAGAATCTACCAATGACGCCATCAAACAAAACCTATCCACAGTATAACAATAACATAGCCAAGAAATCGCGTCTTATTCGGCCACCAGAAGCTACACAACAACAGGTAAATGTCCCCCCCCCCCTAATCCTTCCAGAAAAATAATGGACTTAGTTTTCGCATCCTGGTACGGAGAGTATAGAAACATGCCTATGTCCCGTCTACACAAGCGCACTCGCGCATAAAAACCAACGTTTCAGAACTTGAATCTATTACAGTATAGGACTATTTCTTCTTATAATGATTTCTTTTATCACGTACACCAGCCCGTCATAGTGATAAAAAAGCAAGGACAGAAAAAGCACGGGATAGCGTCTATTTTAAAAAAGGGGAGGGGTGGGTGGGGTGGTGGCAATACACTTCGTTCATTAAATCACAAAGGAGAGTGACAGTATAGAGGAATAGAAGTGCAATAATACCCACCTCTTAACGAAAGCTTCTGCAGTGGGCAAGAGTAGAGTAATTCGCTTTCTAAGTTCTAAGAACAGCAAAACAACAAAGGGACAAGACGTTGTTGTCCCCACCAACACAATCACACTAAACTCTTGTACAAAGTGGGCTGCTTCGACCCTACCTGTCAGGCCAACCCTGGGCTGCGTGGAATGCATCCCAGCACAAGCAGACAGACGATTCTCGAATAATAAAAGTATAAAAGTATACTCTGTATACATGTATTATTATGTCCCTCACGGGTACGAGAAATGGCACTCAAGGACACATCCCCACGTCTGACTACTGACTAGACTAGACTACATTGTATGACGCCACAGACCCTGGAGAAGACGATGCATTAGGTGCTGACAACAGGCTACAGGTAGGCCAGGCCTACGTTCTACTGTCACTGCACCCACATATATCTGCCCCCAATTCTCTCTGCTCACGCAATCTTTCCCATGGTGTCACTCACGGAGTTGTAAAACCTGATGCGATTAACCATCTTTATGTCATGGCTCACACCCTTGATGAGTTGGAAACGTTTGCATGCCAGTGAGGCTCTTGTTTCTGTAGTCTCTCCGTTCTGATGTAATAATAATAATAATAATAATAATAATAGATATCATTTGTATAGCGCATATCCCCGCTCAACAGCAGGCTCTATGCGCTTTACACTATATTATTACCCCAGCAGACCATAGAACACTCCGAAACATTCTCAGCTTCCCGGGAAGCATACAGTGCAAGCTGCGGATTTCACGCGCTCAAACACTATCAAACTGACAAGATCTTTCACTGTCTATAGCTGGGTACCCATTTCCACCTGGGTGAAGTGAGGAAAATTCGTGTAAAGTGCCTTTCCCAAGGACACAACGTCGGGCCCCTGACAGGATTCGAACCCACGACTTTACGGTTGCGAGTCCGAGAACCTAACCACTAGGCCGGTTGTTGCCGCATGTTGAACTGTTTGTGTAGCGCATTTATTGTAGATGGTGCCACGTTATCGGTGCTGTTGAGTTGTTGTAAAAGTTGCTGAGTTGTGTTGTTGCTGTTTACATGTGTTAAGTTAGCTCGTATCGGTGTTGTGCTGACGCTAGAGTTAAAATATTGTAACTTGGACTAGTGGTGTTGTGTTGTCACTGCAGAGTTGTTGTTGTCTTTTCGTTAGACTATTGCTGTTGTTACTGTTGTTGTTGATAATGTTGTTTGCGTTGACAAGTTAGGTAGGGTTTCCCACCATTTTCGACACGATCCAACTATAAGAGCAACGGGTCCGATTTCATAGGTATCGTCCTGTTCAAGCCTGCTAGTTGCTACACAGTTGCTCCAGGTAACCAAGCACTACTCTTCTACTTTCAGAGCAAAGTTCATTTAATTACCTCTTTTTTAACAGGGAGAGAGATTTGGTATATTTATTTCACTGTTGTATACGCTCAAATCACTCTAATTAATTCGAAATGAAAAAAATATTTCTGCAATTCCTTGTCGGTGACTCCTTGATGTTATTCAAATCGCTCCTGGTGTCTAGCTACCCCATGCTAAATTTACCCTTTCTCCCTTTTCAGTACTTAAAAGGCAATATAACCCCCTCCACCCGCAAGAAAAGCAATATCAAACAAAATAGGAACATTTTCCTATGTACAGCCGCACTACGATCATGCCAACGAATATTGCGTGACGGTGAGAATCGTGACAACTCTCCCCCAACCCCCCTTCCCACTTCAATCTCTTGCAACACCAAACACGTAGACTACTTGAATAAAATAAATCGCTGACTGTTGTTTATGAAACATGCCATTATGTAGACAGAGAGGGATGACAGCCATTTGCAGATGACGTTTCATCAATCTTGATGTTTGTACACCCCACGGAAAACACCGAGAGCGACAGCAAATAAGGGCAAAGAGAAGCAAAATACATTGTAATCCTCTATCTTAACCACCCCCCACCCCCCAAGCTCCACCTCTATCAAACCTAGAGTGAAAGTGTTTTTTTTTAGTACATTGTACAGCAATGCAGAGTTGGATGCCACTCAAATGTGCGGGATATAAGTCAGATGAATCGAAGCTTTTCAAACACGATACGAACGTATTTAACGCATTCAACACAGGGTAACAAAAAGAGTTTACTTGAGAGAGAGAGAGAGAGAGAGAGAGAGAGAGAGAGAGAGAGAGAGAGAGAGAGAGAGAGAGAGAAAGAGAGAGAGAGAGAGGGGGAGAGGGAGGGGGAGGGGGGGAGCGAGCGAAGCGGGGACGTCACAGCCAGGATGCAAAGATTATTCAGAGAAGTCATAGCTGGAGAGGAAACAAGAGGAGAGGACGTGGAGATGCCAGGGTTGGGATTCGGAAGCAATGAGATACACAGAAGGAACGAATAGAAGAAAAATGTGGACTAAGATGCCGCTTTGGATGCATAAAGACCTTTAACAGTGACCGGTTATCATGTTGCATCTACATCATGCTACACATTCCAAACGGCATGACCAGTGAACGTTAACCATTTTGAACCTCCGAGACTGTGACACTCGACTTTTGTCCCACGACACGTAGCCAAGAGACATTCTGCTGAGAAGTTACAGCCATTTTCTTGGTGTTAAGTACTCCGTCGAAATTTCTATTTTTTCCCGACAGATCTTCCTCAAATCTTGTGATTCTGGCTACACGTAGATAAAGATTTTTCCTTTCATGCCACACCTTCCTTACCCCCCGACGAACACTGAATATTTCAAAACACTTTTTGCTTTAGAACTATGCTTTTGTTGTATTTGAGACAAGTAAGTAGAAAACGGCTAGCTGACAACGAGCAAAGAGAAAAACCCGACCCTCACTAACTCCTGACATCGGGGAGGCCGGCTCTAAGCGCGAGTTGAGACATGCAAGAACTGATGTAATGTACACCAAAGGTGCCTTGGTAAGGACAAACAACTTATCAGAAAGCCAGGTTTCGTTAGCACCCCCCCCTCCCTTATTCAAATTAAATAACAACAGCACGCTTCAACAACTTCTAACAAAATGTTGTGAAGTGGTAAAAAAGACATTACAAATGTGCAGCAACATGCATTTGAGGACACCAAACGACTCTCCATCAAACTTAATCAAACGAGAATAAGAGTAAGAGCCAAGGATGAAAACAGATCAGATGATCTTGCATAAATGAAAGCGTGAGAATTCATCCATGGGTGCGGTCGACACAGAGTAATACATATGTAGCTATTACTTACCTTCAGACAAAAAACAACAACCAATGTGTACATAACTCGTGCCAGTTACAAGGAGTAATGTAGTAAATCTTGTGCGTCATATCGAAGACATCTCGAATAATGGGTGAAACAGAAAATGAAATCTAGAAAATACATTTCATGAGCCACATTAATACTAGTCATGATAAAGAAAGCGACAGAGATGTACGATGCAGCAAAACATACGTAAGACAAAAAGCCGTTTTGCAGAGCTACAGACGTAATATATACAATGCATAATATAACTATACTGCAGAGTTACGATGTCTAACGAGGTGAGACTTAAATAAAAGTCAAGGGAGAGTACCTTCTGTGGTGGACTCGCCCATCGAGGAGCCTGTGAACCCGGACACGTTGGCCAAGGGAGAGGCTGAAAAGGCCACCTGGAAGCCTAAGGGTCGATCTGGCGTCTGCTCGCGAGACAGAACCCGAGTGGTAGTTGCGATCATTTCTTCTGAGCGATCAATGCACATCTCGTCGCCTACCACAGCCGTGAGGTCACGCCTACCCGGACTCAGGTCAACAGTCCCATGAAACGGTTGGCTGACAACTCCTCCAGCAGTCATTCCCGGCCCGCGACTGCCGTAGAATTCAGTGTCGTAAGCAGGAGCTTCAAGAACCGGTTGCCCGTCGGGGCCGAGTCTCCTGCCTTCAGCGCTCGGGGCGTCCGACGTATCTGATCTTCCTGGTCCCGCTTGCCCCACTAAAGTGACATTATCTGGTTCCACAACATCACGGTTCCCGTCATCCGTTTCTCCATACCGTTTGTCGGGTCGGGTTCCATCTTCAAAAGACCTTTCGTCATATTCTCCAAGTCCCACTGCACGTCCAGCCTCACGACCGGAATCACCAGGGGCAACTACCACCGTCCTGTCGGCGTCCAGCTCAGAATCTGCTCTGTCTACCTGTTTGCCGTGGGGTGTCTTCTCCAGATCCGATGGTCCCAGCACATATTCTGGAGTTTCGTCCAGTCGCCGGCTATCGTCCAGAGACTGGTTGGCAGTTCTGTATGTGTCGGCATCAGAAGACAAATCCATAGATCTCTCTGGGACCCTGTCGTCAAAGCTATCACCAGGAGCGGACTCATCGCCTGGTACCCTGTCTCCAAATCTGTCTTCTGGAACGTAACCTCCAGCCCGTTGTTGGCTTTCGTCAACGTCTTCAGGACGGAAACTTTCTCGAGGATCTTTGCCTCCATCAGGATCGTCTGTGGGATCGTACGTTTCAACTGGTCCTTGGTCATAAGAACGGTCGTCGCCACGACCATAGATCGCAACCGGTTCTTTGCCATCAAAGCCATCCTCGCGACTATCACCGGTTACTGGTTCTCGGTCTCCTTCTTCAGTTTCACGATCATCATCTTGTACCTGTTTTCTGCCACCATAACCACCGTCAGCATCATACTTTCCTGCAGGTGTCTTATCGCCAGAATCGTCACCAGGACCATACCCAGAACTCAGTTCTCTGTCATCAGGACTGTCTCTCTGACCGTCACCTTCTCCTTGTTTTCTGTCAGAACTGTCGTCGGTACCAGAACCTGGAATTGGCCTCTTGTCATCAGAGTCGTGGCTACGGTCATAACTTGGTACTGGTTCTTTGTCTCCTGAACCATCCTCAGGCCCATAACTTATGCTAGTGCCAAATGTGTCCCGGGAAGGAGAGTAGAGATCATCGCTGGGACTCGCAAAATCCACACTGCCACCATCCGGCTTCTCAAAAGCCAGCTCCTCTTCACGGAAGTCCACAGGCAGGGCGGGTTCGGGTACGGGCGATGGTTCCTCGTGGTAGGAGGAGCCAGTCTCCGAGCTGGGGCTCACGATCTGGCTCGAAGGCTCTGACGTCACGTGGAGGGCGGGGACTGTGTACGTTTCAGGCGCGTCCTCCCTCTCAACCTCCGCCCTCGAATACAAAACGTCTTGTTCCTGCGCGATCTGCGGCCCGCCTGTACGTCGACCTTCTGAAAATGGGTAACACATAGCGGGGTTCTTGTGCTCAGAGTGCATAATAGCGACAACCAATCAAACAAACAGGGGTGGTGGGGAGGGCGGTTACGAACAAACCGCAAAACTAAAAGAGGGGAAGTCGATAACAACGAAAACGTACAGACAAAACAAAGAAAAATACTAACATCAGCTAAGACAAGGCCTTTTAAGTGGTGATCGAACAGGCACAGGTTGTGAGAGTCAGAGAGCACACATCATTCGTGAGATGCAACAAGAGTTCCAAGACACAGACCAAAGACTTTTCACAGAGTTCCCTTATCATGCATTTTTTGGGTGTTCCAAAAACAGTCCAAATGCCATTCATAGTTAACCAGCCAGCGAGTATTCAGAGAGAGAGGTGGGGGGGGGGGGGGGGGAGATAGAAGAGAGAGAGAGAGAGTGTGATGAAACAAGTTAGTAAGAAGTGGTGAGCATAGCATACGCATGCAGAAGTTCTTACGTCCTCGTCAGGAGATTGGTTAGAGCATAGCAATCAAGAGATCAAACCAGGCATACATGCAGCATTCACTAGTCATAATTCTTTAATGTCTTATCAGCGCACAGGGTTGGGTAAGCATGGGGTAAGCCTTGTAGTTACAATCAAATTCACTAACAAAAAAAATATATTTAAAAATACAATTTTCTTTTAGAGGTTAGAAGTTTGCCAACAAAAACTTTTTCACAGGAGAATCTGGGGTACTATTTGATAAAACTACAGACTGGTTTGTTTTTTGTTTTTGGTGTGACTTTATTTCCAGTCCTCGAAATAGACTATTAGTTACCCTCCAAGTACATAATGTATTTGGGCTTTTTCTGTTTTGAGTTTCACATTTCTTTCGACAGAAAGCAGAATAATGGAAAAAAAAACTGCCAAGACAACACGGATGTCTGTCACAGACTTAACCAAGGTTTTGAAAGTGAACTGACACTCGGATTGTAGACATCATAGTCAATATCCCTACTGAGCTATTAACAAGCAAACGTCTTCGCTTCTGGTGAATGTACCTGTTTTTACGTTTTAAGTTAATATAAATGCGCCAGATATATGATTGAATGAAGCTCAAGGAAATAAAAAATCTAAAATGATACTACTTTCCCAGCTCGGGTCTCCACACAAACACACACACACACACACACACACACACACACACACACACACACCTGCTCCCTCTCTCTCTCTCTCTCCAAAAGGACACACCTGATACATGCAATACCCATGATTTCAGCATACAATGTGCTTCTTCGAGGACATAAGAGCTTGCAAAAAAATGAATAAATTAGGTTTATGAGGGCGTGAGGTAATAACCGAACTACAATAAAAATCATACCTATCATGCTAAGATAAAAATACTGCAAGCTAAACAGCAAGCGAATAAAAAAAGAAAATATCTGTACTACAGAAATGATGAATTCAAAAACGAATGGACAGAAAAAGCTCATTAAAAATAAATAAATAAAAACACGCCGTTTTATTGACGCTCTTAAAATGCCATCTAAAGCAAAATGTGCATGCCCTGGGCTAAACAGTAAAAATTCACTGCCGAAAATTCATACCAGATTTGTCCCCATCGAATTGCAATCAAGCTAAACGTGGGCTACTCATTATGTCCAGGGTTGCATACCATCCTAAAACTTAAAATTTAGATGGTTAGGACTCGGTCTTCGTCGATTGTCATGCAATACTATGTTCCTGTCTAAATCAACATATCTGTACTAAAAGTCTGACAGAAACATTCGTTTGCATGTCGTCTAACTGAGAAATTGTTCTTTTTTGTTCTATGTAAACCTTTGTGCAATTTACTAACTGTCTTATGAAAGTTTATATTGCATATCTCGATAGATTTATGACTTAACGTTTTTAGATTGGAAAAGAGAGGGAGAGAGAGAGAGAGAGAGAGAGAAAAAAAAGAGAGAGAGAGAGAGAGAGAGAGAGAGAGAGAGAGAGAGAGGGGGGGGGTTGGGGTGGGAGGATTGAAATGACAGATAGACAGACAGGTAGGCACGGACAGAGAGAGGCGCCTGGCGTTCACAGGGCGTTCCTCTATGTTACATGTATATGTGGCTATTTGTTCGATCCGAACTGAAGCTGTACAGTTCATTCACTACATACACAATTTTGATACATGTCCAAGTGGCAAAGTTGTCATCTTTGGGGGGGGGGGTTGGTTTGTTTGTTGCATATAAGTTGTCATCTGCTTCCTTTCAGTACATTTTCTCGACTGCTTACGATCTTCTGGACCCACGAGTCGTCTTCAATACATTGTGTATATCTAGGTATTAAAAGAAATTATTATCTGGGCGGAAATTATGGGAACTATTATGCCACATTAATTACTCAGTTTAAGACCAAGGTGTTTCTCACCCATCACTTCACAGTAAGTGACAGGGGTCAGAGAGCAACACAAAGCGTCACTTTACTTCCGGCCACAACCTGGCTCTGTTGTTGCGCTTGTTTGCATTGTTTCCTTCCAGACTTTGGACTATTACCCTTTATTTATTTTTTCAGGACAAAAAGGAAGGGAATAGGGGTGTGAATGAGTTTACTGCCCTTCTAGACATATATCTGACATTTTGAAGGAGTTGCCTGAGCTGATTTTGTGGAGGTCACAATGACCTACATCCCGAGAGTCAATCACGTCAGGATGTCAGGAGTCATTTTATTCCCGTAGCCTGGAGCTATCACTGGTAGAAGAAACCTTTTGATCAAATTCTAGGTTTCGATGCATCAAGACATCCGGATCCCAGTCTACAGTAGACTGATGCTGCTTTGCAAAGACCATTCCATTTTCGTTAAGCTGTAACTTTTTACTCTGCATTGACCACAATAATCAAACTCTTGATTTGATGAATTTAAAAAACCTCAATCATTCCGATAATTCCTAGGCTGCTCCTTTCCATTACATCTCGAAGGAGACGCTCAAAGGTTCATGCGCGAACAAAAAAAAGAGAAGGCTAAAAGAAACTACAGCGAGCAAAGAAGTCAATGGTAGACAAGGCAACAACAAGACAAACAGAGAAAACATACAAGTAAAAGAAAAAGAACTTTAAAAAATCCTAAAATCATTCCAGGTCAATATATAGTATCACTTAAAAGTCAGACAGCATAAGTTAGGATAATGTTTGCTTAAGAATGTGTTAAGTTTTAGAAGGGAGCTGTATATTCCAAAGCAAGTAAAGACTAAGAACTAAAGGGCACACATGTGTTAAATTAATCCAACACCTCAACAAAAGTAAATTAAATAAGATTTTAAAAAAGAGAACCAAACTCCTGTGTGAAAAAGAGTGTTATTTCGTAAGATTTATTTCACTGGCATTTCTTTCACATAGACATTGACAAACACAAAGCTTACACAATCCTTGGGGATTTGTTCTAACATTAGCAGAACAAACACGACGTTTTTAACTACTGTAAGTAACGACCATGGGCTGACAGGAGTGATCAAATGGATTTTCCAGTTTTCTGTGATAGGTGGCAGGTGAACGTGAAATGATATCAGAAACAATCCTTACTTCTACAGAGGCTGCACTGATAGGGAAAAAAGAAACATTTTACACCCCCCCCCCTCCCCCTTTTCCAACCCCCCCCCCAGCAAAGACAACCTAAGCCTGTCTCTAAAAGTTTTGACCAAACTTTGACCACCAACCTCGAGCCTTTGAAGGGGTATTTGATGCTGAACGATGTATTGGCCCCTTTCGACACGTATACAGCGAGTGTAAGAAGGGAAGAGAATTTTAAGTGAGAAATTTAACAAAACCCTGCACAATGCGACGGGAACACCCCCACCAAGGCAAGTCCGCCTGTATGCTAACTAAAGAACTATTTTCCGCTCTCGATTTCGCCTATTTCAGGTAATTCCACCTGCCTTAGTTTTCAAACTGTTACTACCCTTTCTCAAGATTGGGATACATACGAACTTATACATATATAACGTGCATTGACCTCTTACCAAAGACAGATCTCTTAAACAACTATAATCACGGGGACCGAGCGACTGGTTGAAACACGATGAGTTAATTAAAGTGAAGATAAATGTCAATAAAAGGAAAGAAGGGAGGTTTTTAAAAAATCAACGTGACCTTAACACAAACGCAAAGAGGAAATGTGCGCATTAAAAGTAATGTTTAGACAAAAAACTTTGAAGTAAACAGTTGTTAATGTGAGAACCCGTGAAATGATGGACAATACGGGGGGGGGGGGGGGGGGGTTTGTTGGTCAGGATTTTTTTTTTTCACCCCACAAATTTAATGCTAGGATTTTAGTGATGATGCCGTGGAACACCCATATTGAAACAATTGGGATAAATCAGGAGTCAGGTTGCTTTTCCCTGCCTGTCACAGCCAATGCGACTGTTCGGTACAGACCCACGTTCTATCAGAAAGACGCAACATTCAGTTTTGTTTCCTCCACCTGAGCATTGATCTCATTCACTTATCATGTCCCAAGCAAGAGCCAAACCATTAAGCCGCATACACCAGAAAGCCCATACAAGAGATAAAATCATCAATACACAATTTTAAGTGATTCGGAAACCAGGGGAGGAGGCTTAAATATGAACCTGTACTTGTCTCTTTAATAAAAAGACAGGAATGCGTTGTTCCCAGAAAGCAGATAATTTGATTAAGGGCAATAAGAGGGCATACTTTAAAGGGAGAATAATCACAAAAACCTTAACGACAAGAAATCTGACAGATCCAACACTATCATAACACTGGGTATTATCGGTCTACTCCTGTTTTATAGTTTATTATTAATGTATCAAGCTGAAGCAGATGGCAATGATCGTTGAGACTCGTTGTCATGGATTGGAGATGGTCATTCATATAACGGAGTTACGATCAACACATTCTACAACTCTACTACCAGCAGAACTATACTAAAGGGAAGCCACTACGGAGTGCAAATCGGTAAATAGCGGTGGCAATAGCCAAAATGTTTTATCAAACACACGCTAAGTTGTCACTTAAGTCATGGAGCAACGAGATGCACACTCTTTAACTCTATGGTCAACAGAATTTCCATAGCAGGAAACCACTACACGGTGAGATTGATAGGTCAACAAAACATTGGTCCCACCCCAAGCAAAAGTGCCCGCCTCTCGTGAGAAAGGGCTGACCAGAACAAGAGCTTACATCCTCTATATCCATCAACTTCTACGATACTGAGATAGTGAGCAAGCAAGGGGCACTTTTCGCTTTTCCCGAAACCCAGCGTGACATAATGAGGTGGGAGGGAAGAGTCAAACATATGCACAAAACACAGCCATGCACACACACCCAAAGAGTTAGGGAGGGAGAAAAGTGAGGGAATAGATCACACAGCATCGCACACTGGAGGAGAAAAGAGGTTAAGAGATGACCCGGTCTTCGTTCCCCCATCAACACTACTGGCATCATTTGAGAAGCTGGCCGCTTCAACGAGAGAAAGGAGAGAGAGAGAGAGAGAGAGAGAGAGAGAGAGACAGACAGACAGACAGAGAGAGACAGAGAGGGGTGGGGAGAGGAGGAGGCAGTGAGGGAGGCGTGTCTGTCTACACACAGTGAACACAGAAGCATGGATGTGACCATGTGTTTACAAGTCGTGTCGGCAACGAGGTCGTGAACTACACGGGTTTACATGTGTGAGAAACCAGTTAAGTGCAACCATTACCTCTAGCTCCAAAAGTAAGCTTACTAACTTAATCAACTACAGTATGAGCAAATAAACGCATGGATAACATGAAAGAAAAATAATTAACTGAAATGCTGCCAAAGGAAATATTGCATATCGCCAAAGTAATGCATATAAAATAATGACCAATAACAAAAACGAAGAAAAAGTTTAAAAAAAAATACAACACAACAAAAAAGTAACAACACAATAGAGATGTAACTCAAATACGACTGAGCATAAATATACTTAACACAGAACTGGCATGACTTCAAAGACCACAAAAAGCCAAAAGACTTAAAACAGTCTACTACAAAATACAGAGAACAATAAGCAAGTAGTGGGGTAATCTCTGCAGATTGTAGGATAATAAGTATACATGTATAAGGGCCTATTCGTTACTTTAGAGGTTTACAGCAAAATGAAGCTATAAAGCTATACATATATTATGTAGTGACCAGCACGCGCAGTGCCTGCAAAGTGTTGATGTTTGCAACTACATACTAAACAAAGTGTCAAAAAGTACATAAGCCTGCGGTACTAGGCTGGTGCAGCAGTTTGGTGAGAGGGGGGGGGGGAGAGAGAGAGAGAGAGAGAGAGAGAGAGTGCGTGGGGGGGTTTGTTTGTTGGTTGGGGGGGGGGGGGGGGGGGGAGAGGCAAATATATGAAGTGTAGGCGAATAAAAGAGGTAAAACCATCGGACGAGCGATCTGAGACGGCAGGCTGGGTAGAGATGGAACTTAATTTTCCCTCCTTCTTGTCTCGAGTTCATTAAAACCACACAGTGCCGGGAACGGCATACGCTCTGTTGTGGGTTAGTTCTTCTTGTAAGAGAATGCACGGATATGAATGAGTTTCTGCTCTTTTCGAACAAAACGCAAAAATCACCCGACACGCCTGGCGCTTCTAGACTTAGTGCAAGATTCGTTATCGGTGGGAATATTTTTGGCGACATTTCACATACCAAAAACCAGCGATGTTTTACAGAATTATTTCAAAGAGATTCCTGGACATCTGTCTATGAACACGCTGCGTCAGTAATTATTTCTTACAGAACAACTGATTACTCTTCTTTCCATTCCGTTGAACATCAAGTCCGATATTCTGACCCGCTCCGATGACACAGAACCGCCTATTAGAACGCATGCGAACCTTACTTTAAGCAGTTGATGTTGTTACAGCAATATTAGGGACGCCAAACTGTTACTATAATAGACGAACGGGAAAGACAATTTACTCCTGTAGATCAAGCGAGTATACCTCAACGTGTCGGCTCGTTATGGCGCTTACTCATATGGGACCAATACCGATGTTCGTCAATACGCACATGTGCTTAAATTACATTATTTCTTGGCGAAAAGGGAAGCGAAACGACGAAATCCTGCAACATTTAAGCACTTGAGAAGGCGTCACACACGGACGGTACTGGAGAGCACCAAATTACAGAAATTGAAGTCAAAACGGCCTATAAAAAAGACCGCACTGCATTTTTGGGTGAAGAATTATTTACTCTTTGCAAACTACGGAGTCTTTTTCCTTACACGAAGTCTGGCTTGACGTCCAATAGCTTAATTTTAACAAAAATAACAGTACCTTTTTAGTTGAAGTCGCAAACTTGCGCATTGTGATATAATAGCGGTTAGTAGCAAGGTTTGGGAATTATAATATAATGTATGTGTATGTATACGTATGATGGCGGAAATATATATATATATATATATATGTGTGATATATAAGAGCGGGAAGGGAATTGGGGAAAGGCGGGGTAGTGGTGGGTTTTCCCTTCTCCTGATCGCAGCTGTCCACGGGACCCGAGTTCTGGGCTACATGAGTGCACACGAGGAGGACAGACACAAGGCGCACTACAACACAAGCTAGATACAAAACGAGGGCGAGACTATAACAAGAGATAGGTAAACGTCGCTCTCAGAATACCGCCGGTTTGGATTAAAGGATAGTTTTACAGGAAGGAAAAAAAACCAACATAACCTTTAAATATATGTGTCATACCAAAGAAATAAGATATAATGATAGCAGAGTGTTGTTGGTCTCCTATCTGTCAACAGTTTACTACAAAACTTCATTTGGTAGAAAATGGAAGCTATTTCGTTGGTCTGATGTTTTGAAGCAAGATTTGCGAAACAGAAAAGGCCACTTTCTCCAAATCTTTTGAATTTTGAATAAACAAATCAACGATAAGTTGGTCTGTTCTGAAGTGAGCACTTAATGAACGATGCCTAAACAGATCGTTTTTCTGCGGCTATCAGGACTTGTGTTGATTATTTTTTTTACAGAATCAGAGGAAAAGACCTCACTGCGTGCATTTGAGAAATAAAGTTCAAGCAGAGAGAGAGAAAGAGAGAGAGAGAGAGAGAGAGAGAGAGAGAGAGAGAGAGAGAGAGAGAGAGGGGTAAACAAAAAATATACAGAGACAGTTGTACTGAACAAGGGGCCAAGTCACAACACCTAACAGAAACAGGAAGAACTAACACAGACCGGCAGATGAGACACATAAGACACAGACACAGACAAAACACACAATTCTAAGACATATAACTTCGCCAAGATCACTGCCACATGAACCAATGGCAGAACCATCAATCCGTAGGGGGCATATATCATAAAGTGAGACAAATTGTAAGAAACAAGACACTGATGAAAACATGAAGTACATTACTTATGCTTAAGAATACAAGCAATACACAAACAATGCAGTAAACTTATCTTTAAAGCCCATTCAATAAATTAATGAACTGAAACGGACTTAAAAGAAGGGGGTGATTATGAATAAATAGAAATATGCTCCATGAGGGTTAAAAACTCTCATGTAACCAAAAGTGAACGCTTAAAAATAAAACTTATACCACACAAAGCGCCAAATCATAAAACAATCACATTCTAAAAATAATCAATAAAAAATAAAATCAAAGAACAAAGGAACATCTAGCATTACGTAAACCATTATGTTATTCCACCATGACGAAAAAAACCCAACCCAATTAACCGCCATCGAATTAACCACGAATTAAAAATAAAAACCGCACGCTTACGTTAAACACAATAAGATCCACAAACGGAAACGATAACAATAATCATAATGAAGAAACTTAAATAGCCTTAGAATAATATAAACATCAGCAACAAAGAGTGACGAGAGAAAAGAGGAATAACTGAGGGGCGTCTACACACCGGAGTCGAAATCGTCTGTGGCCTCGGAGGCGAGTCGAGTGGCGGCCTCGGCGATACTGCTCTCTGTCGCCAGCACCGAGGGCTCTTCTGTGGACAGACCGCCAGCGGGACACTCAACGTTAGAATCCATACACCAAAGATTAAGGCAACTAAAAAAACATATTCAAACTATTCTCTTTTTTTTCCTTTTCGCAGAGAAGTTTAAGTTCTAACACAGTTTAGAAAATAACATTCCAAACCCTATAAAATATAATGATATACTAACCCTCCTAATACAATAATTATTTCTATCACACAACACAAAAGACTACGTTTCCATGCTTCTTTGGCTTTCTCCCACTTTTTCTCCTTCCTTCAAACTCAGTTCCCAGATTGGAAGATAAACTGCAACCTTTTAAAACCATGATAAGCAAAAACCTATTGGAATTTTTTTTGTAAAAACACAAAAAACACTCACTCCCTTTTGACGAATACCTAAATCATGAAAAGTGCATAACTGCACAGCGATAAATATGTTTTTAAAAATGAAGGTTAAAGAAATAAATAACATTTCTTGCTATTGGGACAACAACAATTCGTTTTCATCTGTTACCTTTGGAACACAGTAACTCTTACAGAAAACGATTAAAAATACACAAAAACATGAGGATAACATACATGAGCAAGCATGCACATACAATATTACAGTGAAGACAATGAAAATGGAAAACATTTTTGGTGACTGAGATGCTGAAATATCGGACACACCATACATAGTTACGTTAAAAGATATACAACAAGAGAGAAAATACACAAAGAAACAGAGACATGGTGTGTTTGATAATCCTAGGTACAAGTGCGCATCGCCTAGAAAGCAGTTTGGTCACATCTCCACATCTTTAGCGAGTGCGTGTGTGTGTGTGTGTGTGTGTGTGTGTGTG